AGCACCGAAGTAAGGGTGGCAATACCACGCCCCCCCCACAATCAGGGCCAGATTTACACCTTATGCGCCCCCAGGGATAGCATCTTCAGCGCCCCCCCCCCCCCCCACACACACACTGACCTTCGTGTTTTCCACAAAAACTGAAACTTTTAACCCACTTTTAACTTTTAGGCACCCCTAGAACGCTGGTGCCCCTAGGCATGTACCTACTGTGCCTTACTGGAAATCCGCCCTTGCCTACAGTAGCCAGATTTCACGGGGGAGACCAGATTTCATGATCCGTGACATGTTTTTCACGGCCGTGAATTTTGTAGGTCCCTGCACAGGACACCTGGAGGAAAGAGACGATGCTGTGGGGTTCTCCCCTCAGTGCAGTACCCGTCACTCCAGGCTCTGCAGCGTGCTGTCAGCCACTTCAGGGGGACCTCAGAGGTGTGTGGGCTTGAGAGGAGGTCCCGCGTGTGAGCAGCGGGGGTGAGCCCCCAGGGGCGAGGAGGTAGCAGCAGGTAAGGGGTTCGGCGTCTCAGTCTCTGCTTTCCTGTTCCCCACAGCGACGAGCACGTCTCCATCCTGCTGGATCTGCGGGGCGACGTCTCCAAGGAGGTCCGGAACGTGGTGCTGGAAATGATGGCGCAGAATCCCCAGTCCCTGCCCGAAAACTACCAGCCCATCTTCAGCAACATCCTGGTCCCGGCTCCGGAGCTTCCCTTCTGCCTTCGCAAGAGCAAGTGTGCCTGAGACATGCATGCCGCAGCCTGGCTGTCTGCAGCCTGCCCTGGCCAGCAGTGTCTCCGAACGACGGACCTCTGAGAGGCCCTGGGTGGGGCTGGGCAGAGACGCTGGGTCTCTGCTGTGTGTGAGGGGCTGTCTGGGCTCCAGAGACGGGGCAGGGAAAGCCTAGGCATCAGCCCTGCTGTGCAGGGAGGAGAGGGGAGGCTTCCACACCCATTCCCCAGTGGCCGACACCTTGGCACCTGCTTTGCTGGCGCCAGGGACCCTCAGCCCACTGATCCCCCTAGCCACGTAACCCTGGATGGGCTGAACCCAGCTGTAGGTCTGGCCTTAAACTGCTAAACCACCAGATTCAGCTCTGCCCATTCGGGTCTCCAGGCCTCTGCTCCGTGCTGCTTCCTAACTGCCCCCTCTGCTCAGCCCTCTCAGGGTATGTGCAGCCCAGAGCCTGTGGCGGGGACGGGCCAACCAAGGCAGGCAAGCGTGGCGGCATCACAGAGCTGGGGGAGCAGAAAGGGAATTTCCCCAGGATTCCTTCCCCAGGTCCAGCCACAACCGCCCCCTCCCATGCACCTGAGCGTGCCCAGGGCAGTCTGTTACCAAGCTGAGAGCAGGGCCTGACGGGTTCTAACTGGGCTGGGCAGAATTCAGTTACTGGTTGATAATTTTGACCGATAACAGTGATGTTTAAGCATTTTTTTTATTTTGATCTATTTAAATGTTCACTGCTGCAGAAAATGAGGGGGAGTCAGACAATGGAGGGGTCAGACAATAATTATTTACTGACAATGGACGTTGAGATTCCACAAGTTAAAGCTTTAATGCCGTTATAAGACAAACCATCAACATCCCATTCAGAATATACCCAGTAAAGACCCTTCGATCAAACTCAAAGAAGAACTTCAGCAGCGTTGTTCTTCCTTTGCCAATCGGTGCATTTCTGTGATTATCAAGGGAAATATTTTTCATTGGGGCGGGGGGCAGTGAAATCAACGTGTACTGACATTTACCAATTCAAATCGATTCCTTCCCGGCCTAGTTATAACACAGACAAATTCAAACTGTCTTGCAACTAAGATTGCCAACTTTGTAATATTTAAATCAGACACTCCAGCTGGAGTGCTGGAACCTCCCCTGCCCTGCCTGTTCCCTGAGGCCCCGCCCCTGCCCCACCTCTTTTCCCCAAGGTCCCACCCCCTTCACTTCTCTTCCCCCGTCGCTCACTGCTATTCCCCTGCCCGGGATCATGGGAATTGCAGTAATCCGAGCCCAGTGCAGAGGTTGGATGATCCATCCTGAACTAGGCAGTGTCCAGAATGTCGTTCTGCTACTCGCCACAGTCAGGGTAGGTGTCTCAGCAATGCGGCAGGGCAGGGGAGAGGAAAGAGCCCCACTACATGGAGTAAAAGAAGGAAGTTCTCCCCGATGGACGTGTTGGGTTTTCGTAGGGCGCTGAAATACCCTTGCCAGGAGCATAGGCGCCGACTCCGGGGGTGCTCCGGGGCTGGAGCACCCATGGGGAAAAATTAGTGGGTGCTCTGCACCCACCGGCAGCCAAGCTCCCCTTCCCCCTGGCCCCAACTCCTCCTCTGCCTCCTCCCCTGAGCACGCCACCTCCCCGCTCCTCCGCCTACCTCCCAGCTGTTTGGCGGCGTAGCAAGCTCCAGGAGGGAGGGAGGGGGGAGGAGCGGGAACATGGCCTGCTCAGGAGAGGAGGTGGGGCCGGGGCGGGGATGTGGGGAAGGAGTCAGAATAGGGCAGGGAGGGGGCAGAGTGGGGCAGGGACTTTGGGGCAGGGGTTGGAATGGGGCGGGGCAGGGGCGGGGGCAGGGGTAGAGTGGGGGTCGAGCACTCACCGGGGTGAGTAGAAGTCGGCGCCTATGGCCAGGAGGCAGGTTTTTAAACACGAGTGATGCTCGCTGGACTCCTACAGGTTTGTCGACATGTTAACTTTCTTGTGGGCCAGCTTGAGATGCTTTGCATTAAAATGCCGGGTAGCCAGGAACAACCAAAAGGCTTTGTTGCAAATCCCCCAGCGTGTTAAGGTCTGTTCTCAAACCCACGCTGAGCTCACCTGTAGCAAAGCAGCGAGCGGTGCTGCTGCGTGGGCGCCTCTATTGCTCTCGGGGCCTCCTCGCTGGATGTCGCCTCGCCACTGACATGGTCGCGCGCAGCCGGGGGCGATTCCAGCTCCTGAGGAGTTCCCGTCCCCGCGTCCCTGACTCCTGATTACTCCCCAGTCGGGCCTCGTGCTGCGCCCCGTGGGGAGATGCTGAGTTTTATAGCCCTCGGGGGAGAGCAGGTCTCCTGGGTCTGTAAGAGCGTAGCTGGCCCCTTAAATGAACCGGGGGCTCAGCTTTCCTATTCCCGTCCAGCGGCTCCCGGCTGAGCCAGGTGAGAGGCTGGGGCAGCACCTGGGGCGTATCTGAAGTCCGGCAGGAGCCAGCGGGGAGAAGGGCAGGAGTGGAGAGCTGCCAGAGGCAGAAGGCAGTTCTGGGAGAAAGCTGAAGCCAGGAGAGCAGAGCGGGGTTTGCAGGCTGGCTGGCATCCCCAAGCCAGAGAAGGCTGGCTCTATGCCGGGCAGCAGGCGCCAAGGGCCAGGGCTGAAGGAAGGGGAGCAGCAGAGGGCCTTACCCACTGATGTCTCCTTGCCACAGAGCTAGGCTCTGAGAGACAGTGGGAGAGCCGGGGGCCTGAGGACAGCTCCCCTGGAAAGAATACTCCCAGCAGCGCGGCTGTCACAGTGCCTGGCCTGGGTCACAGGTGAGAGGGCCAATCTCAGGTCAGACTGTCGAGAAACTGGGCAGACGCCCTCCCGGGGGGCATGGTCTATAATTAGATGTAACCAAACGTGCGCTCCCGGATCGCTATACTAGCTTACCATGGAGCCACAGCCAGTTCCCAGAGACACTCCAGCCTATCTCAGCACCCAGACAGACTGGACGTCTGCGATGAAAGCCCCAAATCCCCACCCCTTAGGTTCGTCCAGCCCCAGGGAGCCAGTCACTTACTCCACGTCAATGGATGCTCAGAATCTCACACCAAAGACAACGCTGACAGCCAATTTCTTTGGGGAACTAGCGAGAGATTTATTAGCTAAGAAAAAGAAAGGAAAGTTAGTCAAAGGTTAAAGCAGGTAAAATACGTTACCGGTGAATGCAAGTTTGTAAGTCCAAAATGATAGCAGGGGTGGGAAATCTGCTAGTTTTCTGTACGTCTCCCTGGGTGGCCCAAAGAGTTTTGGGGGATCTCAGTCCTTTTGTTCAAAATCTCCCCTGTCAGAATTCACCAGTCCAGAGATGGGTTAGGAGAGAGGGGCCTTTGTTCTCCCTTTTTATACCTTGACCCTTTTGGCTGGAAAAATCTTGGTTGTGTCATGGGCTCAGACAGTTCCAGGGTGTCTGTGCTTTGCCCTCAGGCCTTCATATGAATTGCAAATTTTTGCTTGCACCTTCTGCATACATCCCATTTGAGGTGTCTCCGGGAGTGACACGCAGAGGCTTCTGTTTACAGTTCCTTTGTTATTCCTGAAGAGAGAACCTATGGGCATGTCTCAGACTCACAACATGTTTGAGCTCCAGACAAATAGCACCATTTAATAACTCCACCCACAATGTCAATACACATGTTATAACAAGATACTAATACTCAGCAGATTATAACTTTCCAGTGATGCTTCACAAGGCATACTTTGTACAAAAAGTATCACAATTTTCTCAAAGTGGTGACCATATTAGTGTAGATGGTCAGTGCACCTGAGAAAAGATGGACGAGGTCGGATAAGGAGCTTGGCTGTGATGGAGGACGCTGGGGTATGGTGAGAACAAGAACTATAGGCATTGAGCTGACAGGGATTACGCTCTGGGACTTTTGTTAGACTATTTGCACAAGGTTTGTGTAATAAACTGGCCCCAGGAGGGGTATTTGTTGAAGTCAAAGCCTGAAATGGAGTCCTTTGGGTTACTCAAGAGGAAACTGAGGCAAGGGGCCACTTGTGGGGGCCGGGAGGAGGCCACTCATTACAGTGCTCATCCATCCATCAGTATCTTGGCACAGGGACACAAGAGGGATCATCTCCAGTGCTCAGGAAGGACGCAGCTGGGACACTCCAGGGAGATGTGGCTGGCCAGCAGACACGCCGAGCACAATTTGACAGCCCAGATTTGGACCTCGGTCTGCTCTGACTATGAGGAGCATGACCGTATCATTGGTAAATGTGCCACCACTGCCGTTTGTTGTGGCCACCCTGACTGAACTGCAAGGCCAGGATGTGGGCGACCCAGAGCCAGACAGAGCCACAGTGTCCCCAGACCACGTCCTTCCAGAGCTGGAGGATGAGCCTGAACCTCTGGAGACGACCCAACCCAGGGCTGATCCGAATGCCGGTAAGTATTGAAATGATGCATTGAACTACACTGGGGTGGGGATTATACCTGCCCAGGTACTGTACAGACACCATCATGTTGGTCTAACTGTTCTCTGCCTCATGGCTTTTACCCCCGCCCCTGGTGCTCAAAGGCCACGTCAGAGACTATCCAGGCTCTCCAGTCCTCCTCTTCATGGTCACATGGAAACAGAGCCAGCCCGTAACCTCGCTACGTCCTGCCCCACACACCCTGCTCCTGCTCCGCCTGGTCGGCTCCCCCACCCGCCAGAAAATGGTGCCGTCGCATAGCTTAACATGGAAGAAGAGTGTTTTAGGTACAGGCACTTTTCTTGTAAATTACCTTCACCCCTCCCCTTAGTCTTAATTTTTCATTAAACCGGCATCATAAGGCCGAGGCGAGAAAGCCAGAGCTCGAAGGCCATTGGGCTAGCAAGAGGTCGACCATGTTTCTGGAGCACAGGGCCTGCTGCGAAGCTTGCACAGCAGTGTGGTTGGTCAATCTTTTTTTTTTTTTCAGCGTTAACAAAGTTCATCTTGATGTCTGACTCTGTACTAGACACATGAGTCGCATTCGTGGGTCTGGGTCCTGGGCCCTCCCTTCTATGGGGCAGCGTCACTGACCTACCATCCACGCAGACACAATAACAGCATCAAAACAAGCGCAGGTACATCAGTGTGGGAGGGGGTCGGAGCATGGTTGTGCTTGTGCGTGTAGGTGGGTGTGGAAGTGGGTGGGTGTGTATCTGTCTGTCTGCCAAGCAGTGTGGCCAGCGCTCCCAGATGGAGTGAGTGAGCTGATTTTGGCCCCTGCAGCAGGAGCTGTCACCTCACCCGTGCCCGTCTCCTGCCCAGCAGCTGCTCCTGTCCTCAGGGCCGGCTCCAGCATTTCTGCCGCCCCCAACAAAAAAAAAAAAAAAAAAAGCCGCGATCGGCGGCGGCAGTTCAGCGGCAGGTCCTTCGCTCCTGGAGGGAGTGAGGGACCTGCCGCCCTCGAATTGCCGCAGGTGCCGCCCCTCTCCCTTGGCCGCCCCAAGCACCTGCTTGTTAAGCTGGTGCCTGGAGCTGGCCCTGCCTGTCCTCCAACCTCCAAATCAGTCCTACCCCTCCCGTTCCCCCATCAACTCTGCCCCCCCAGACCCATCTCTGCTCCTCGGGGGGCTCTTCACCCCTTCCCCAGGCGGGGGGCTGCAGCGGAGCCCCTGGCCCTATTCCCAAGCCAGGGGTTGTGGGAGGGAGAAGGGGCAGAAGCGCCGTCCTGTCCCCGTTGCTCACAGGGGGAGAAGGGGCAGCGCCACCCTTAGCTGCTCGGCTCTTTAGCTCTCCCCCCCCCCCATGAGAACAGTGTGGGCTCCTGAGGGGTGGGGAGAGAACTCTGCCTGCCTCCTGCAGCAGCCCTGATTGGCTGCTCTGCCCCAGGAAGCGGGACGGTGGGGCGGGCTGAAATCCCATCACTGCCAGGCATTGTGAGACCTGGGGATGCGGCTACAGCTCGTCCCCCGGCTTCGCCGCGATCCCAGGCTGCTCCAGGGTCGCTCCCTTGTAAAGCCAGAGGGTTAAATGTCTAGGGACCAAACCTGTGTGAAGATCAGCCCCAAATCTCTGGGGGGAAATGGAGCACATGAAGGCCCCTGCATCCCTCTGTCTGCTGGGGAAGGGGGGGCCAGGTGCAGGGCTGCACAGCTGGCAGCAAATGGGATTGCAGAGGGTGAAAAGCCACTGGCTGCACTGGAGATCAACAGGCCATTTGTCAGAGATTGCAAGGCCACCAGGGAACATTGTGCTCAGCTAGTCTGACCTCCTGTAGAGCCCAGGCCAGAGACCTGCCCCATAATCATCCCTGGAGCAGAGCTTTGAGAGAACCAGCCAGTCCTGATTTTAAAATGGAGAATCCAACACTTGGTAAATTGTTCCAATAGTTAATTACTCTCACGGTTACTAATTGACACCTTATTTCCAGTCTGAATTCATCTAGCTTCAGCTTCCAGCCCCTGGATCGTGTTAGACCTTTCTCTGCTGGACTGAAGAGCCCATTATTAAATGTTTTCCCCCCTGTAGGTACCTATTAAACACACACATCAGAAGCAGGAGTGGCAAAAGTTCC